ATTAGTTTTCTTTTGTTTTTTTTTTTCTTTTTTTGCATGTGATTCTTGTAATGATTCTTTTCTTGAAATGTATTTTTTGTTTTTGTTTCCGGGTTAGATGTTTATTTGGAGGAGTGTTTGGACTTTACAGTTGTTTTTTGCACAACTAAAAATTGAGTCTTTAATTCTACATGAGGGAAAGACTTGGGAGGTTCTAACGATTACGGCGAGGTTTGTAACCGTTAGATCAACTAGCTATGACAGTTATGTGGACAGTTATATGATGATCTAACGGGACGGTAGCATAGTCCCGAAAGGCTTTAGCTTTTTCTTGGAGGGTTGTTTATGGTTGCTTTGCACTTATTGTTTAGGAAGCAATTCAACTATTATGAATCGGCCTGTTTAATTGTGATTGTTCATGATAAGTTTGTTATGTAAACTTTTTTGAAGGTTTATGGTGGACGCGAATATCCATATGAAGCCGAGAAAAACACTGGAAATCCAGCTTGGAAACAGAAAGGTGGTAAATTCAATATGCTTCAATAGTAGTGATAATAATGTTTGCATTATATAGAGTATAGCTACTGATTTAGTGATTCTTCTATGGAATTCTCTTGATACAGGGCAATTGTGTTCTAAGCTATTATTTTTTTATTATCTTCGAAATTTCTAATTATGTTCTTATCTTGTGCACTCAATTTTTGATGGTGAACTCAAACAAGTCGATGAATTTTACCAATGAACCGTAGCAATTATGCAAAACCTCTACTTTTTAAACTTTTCGGTCTTCTATTATATTTACCACAGAATTTCTGTGGAGCCATATCGGATGGCTCGGTCTCCATAGCAAAACCGTACTTTTAACGTTATTAATTTTTTTTTTTCTTTTTTTTTTTTCAGATGGCAATGTTGTAGGCGGTGAAGGCCAAAGCAAGGTGGGCTCGACAAGCCGGGATTTTAACTCATACTTTCAGGATGAAAAAGTGCAGCCGTTTTATTATAGCTCGTCAATTTTCTATGGCGGTCAAGATGTTTATAATCCACCACCCGAAGCTGCCAAGACTCCCGTGTTTAGCACCGTATGTTAATCATTAAATGTGTGGTTTTAGTTACAATTAGTACATTTTATGTTATTGAAGTTGAAATTGTTATATCTTTTTCATTTAGTTTAACAAGGATGGTGGAGAGGATGACTCGGCTGGTGCTTCTCGAGGCAATTGGTGGCAAGGTATTATTATTATTATTATTATTATTATTATTATTATTATTATTATTATTATTATTGTTAAATGCGTGCAATTTGTGTTTCTCTTTT